TACGTTCCAAAACAGGGATAAACACCTGCAATCATAAGTAATAATTCATTCATTTGCGCACTTATTTCATAAAACCTTTAAACTCAATCTAAAATAAATACTAACCTTATCGACCTCCCACCATGCAGGATAAAGTTTAGCTTGTCCATTGCCCAAATCAAATGATTCATCTCGTGCATTCTTCAAGTGAACGGCGTGAAAAGACGTCGGCATTATTGTATATCGTATATTTTTATTTTTCTTAAGTTTTCTTATTATTAGAAGACGTGTCACCCACGCATCGATATGCTGTTTTACAAAAAAAGACATATATTAGTGACTTACATAAATTTAAAAAAAAAATTAATCAAATTGAAATATAAGAAAAATATAAGACTTACCCCCCCATCGAAATAGCCATTGTCTTCGACCCCTAATAATACGCCCCACCAAGGCCGTTCAAGCAACAAAAAGATATCATCGGTGAGCTTGCATATGTCAGTGAAACACCCCTTGCTCCGCTCATGTAGATAAAAATCAACTGCGGTCTTAGCCCAAAGGGTGTTATCCAAAATTGTATATGTACGCATGCTGGGGAAAGCCTCGAATATCCAAATCTACAAACAATATAATAACAAAATTAGTAATTGTTAAATAATTAATTATAATTTTAGAAACATTATATAGAAATTCTTACCTTAAAGGCCCAAACAAAGCCTGACAAAGTGTATTTGGACCCATCGCCCCGCAAACTTTTGCGGTCATCAAAGGCAGACGACAACTTAGTCCAGGTAGCTTTCCATATATACGAACCCCACGGAAACAGATTCCATGCATTCAGGTCCTCTACCAATATTATTAGCTCCCGATGAATAGGTTGTCTGGCCTCTCTGCCTAAAAAGCCGGCATACACAAGTAGTAGAAGGCATACTCGGACAACATCGACGTCTTCCATCCGAGTGAAACCAGCTTTCTTATTAAATAATTTCTTCAGGTCGTCGACATGTAGGTTCGGCTTCTCCATTGACTCATCCGGAAAAACCCGGGATAACCATGATGGGCGGGCGATATGACGAGTGTACCGGCCTACATCATCGTGTCCGAATCGTAGACCAGTGATTAAGCAGAACTCCTTCCGCCCAAAGCAAGTATACGCTGGTGGAAAATGAAACCATATCTCTTCCTCACCACGTTGTATACTGTCGGGTAGATTTGATGTCATGGTCTGAAGCCACAAATGGGTCAAATTAGCATCTCCACCCGGATGCTGTACTCTCAGCCATGGCCCGAAGCAGGTTTCCTCAAACAATTGTCTTTGAGCAGGTGAAAGCTTCTTTGCAATTGTAGTGGCCAGGCTGACTTTATTTCTCAAGGTCAATTGAGCCGAAAAAAATTTCTACAAAAACAATAAACATACCAAGTTAGATATACCAAAAACTACACTGTGAAGATATACCAAAAACAATAAACATAAAAGTAGTAGTTTATTCTTTAAACTAAAATTTGCAACACTGTTTTGTCTTTTGGTTGAAATGAAAATCGCAACGAGAGAATCGCAACGCGAGATGACAATCGCAACGAGAGAATCGCAACGCGAAATGAAAATCGCAACGAGAGAATCGCAACGCGAAATGAAAATCGCAATGCGATTTTGGTTTCGCGTTGCGATTCTCTCGTTGCGATTTCCATTTCGCGTTGCGATTCTCTCGTTGCGACAGTCATTCTCTCGTTGCGATTTTCATTTATCTCGTTGCGACTCTTCTGCAAATTGAAACTTGAATGGATTGCATTACTTCAACCAAAAGACAGAACAAAGACAAAGACAAATACTAACTTGAAAATCGCAACGAGAGAATAGCAACGCGAAATGAAAATCGCAACGACAGAATCGTAACGCGAAATGAAATCTAAGTGAAATGGTTAATCTATTATTGAAATGACCAGTAAACTTATCATCAGTTTCAATATGAAAAACCTACAATAATGCAAACATTTCAAAATAAAAATAATTAAAAAAACTAACCCTCGGAGGTTGATTTTCCATTTCTGAATATTGTGAGGGATTTCTGACCGTGAATGGTTGTGAGGGATTTCGCCGGAGATGGGGACGGAAATCTTCGGAGATGGGGACGGATTTCTTCGCCGTAGAGAGTGAGAGATGGAGATGGGACTGAGTTGTGATTTTAGGTTTTAGGTTATGAGTTGCGATTACGGGATTTTGTCTTAATATTCTTTTTGTAATTTGAAAATAAAATACGCGTAGCGATTATAATGGCGCTTTAAATATCGCGTTGCGATTTACGGATACGCGTTGCGATTTTATGTATTATCGTTGCGATTTACGGATACGCATTGCGATATACGGATACGCATTGCGATTTACCCATACGCGTTGCGATTTACGGATACACGTTGCGATTTACGGATACGCGTTGCGATTTATGTGTTCGCGTTGCGATTTTCATATTCGCGTTGCGATTTTGGAAAATCGCAATGCGAATTTGTACTATCGCATCGCGATTTTCAAGAATCGCGTTGCGATTTTGGAAACTGATTTGCGATTCTGGAAACTGATTTGCGATTCTGGGGATCGCGTTGCGATTTTTATTTCGCGTTGCGATTTTGTTGGTCATTTTGGCAAATCCAAAAAAAGTTGGTTAAAATCGTATATTATAACTTTTTTTTGGTCACTGAGGCGATTTTCTCATTCTATTAATAGAATATATCAATTTATTAATGTTGATGTTACGACTTTAAAACTTTACTAATTAGAATTGAAATACGTTAATATTTGTTACATATGCGATGTGAATCATCGCCCATTTCATTTGCATAAGACCATAAAATATCACTACATTTAGGGTGAAAGAGAAAATAAGAGAAATTTGGAAAAAAATAATGAATTGTGAAAAAAATAAAAATTAAGAATAATTATGGTTGCTGATTCAACCTAACCAATGGTTGGTATAATTGTTATCACTATATTTAGTTGGACTTGAATGTAATTTAAATATGCTTAAACACGTATTATCTTTTAATTTAGACTTTGAAAATTTAAAATAATTTAATTTATTTTCATACGAACTATTTTTTAAATAAATATTCCAAATTCTTTTGTAGGCTCAATTCACTAGTTGTATAATAATTTATATATATGGAATACAAGTTATTCATATTCTAATATAAAAAAACTTTTAAATACTCTTCAGATCTTTTTAGTCAACGTTTTCAGCTTTAATTTTAATTACTTAAATATTTTAATTGCTTAACTTTTATAATTTATAAAATTACAAACTACTTCGTTAATGGATTTCAAAAATATATTTTTATTTTTAATAATACAATCTTTGACAACTATATTCTTTATATTCAAATTAAGTCTGCATGTGAATATTTAATCTATAAAAAAGTGTACTATTATTAAATAAGAAATTGCAGATAAAATAAAAGAAATAATTTGATCGAGACATGTGAATTAATAATGTAGTTATTGATCTCATGAAAAAAATGTAATTTTTTTATTAAGATAAGGTGATTAAATATAACGGTGGAAGAATAATTGTAATTTTTTTTTTATGAAGGAACGGTTCACGTGTAGTATATCTTTATATGATAATTAAAACAATTGGTATTAAGACTTAACGAGATAAGTTTGAATGAAAGAGGCAAATCACATTGGTTGATATTTCATTCCGGTCATTTTAAGTTATGTCAGTAGTTTTTATTTGTTTAGTGTTTTTGAGTTACATTAGCGAAAAATGTTGAGTCGAAAGATGTGTGAGTTGATATTTTAATAAATGATTCATTAAAGAATAATGACCCAACTAAAAATGAATGAGATAACATATTTATTTTAGTTAGGTTTTTTAGAGTAAATGTGGTTATCTGGAACATAAAAATCTCAGGGAAAAACTTTTATATTGGTAAATCTCCATTTTAAGTAAAGCGAGTTTTAGCTGGCAATGCTAATATAGCAGGGTGAGACGTAATAAGAAGGGAAGATAATTAGAATACCAAAAATTAACCAGTGATGTCAAATTCATTACGCTCACATCAACTGATCATCCATAGTATTGCGAGCTTACCTGACATCTAAACACAGCAAAAGAGAAAAAAGAATAAAAAATCCATGATCCATGCGTAAGAATGTTGCTAGCTTTTGAGATGGCGATGTCTTTCCATTTGTAAAAGTAACCTTAATACAAGCCAACTCAGAAGTCGATAGAGATATTAGAATAACACTAATCCATTTCCGCAAGTTTAATCATTTCTTGGTAATTTCTCATTCCCCACTGTACAACACTTTCCAGGGTTTTCAAACAAAGAATCCCTATTCATTTATTAGGCTCATACTATTTGTAGTATTCAAAATCAAAAAAATAAACCTGTGGGTAAGCAAGTCATTATCGAAGATCTAGTGGGATTGTTTTGGCTCATTGTGTAGAAAAGGAAAGTAACAGCTGAGTCACTTTCACCGTAGATGGCGTCTTTTGCCCTCTACGCAGCTTAAAACAGGCAGTGGCAATTTTAGACTGAACCCCGTGACACGTTTCGGTTTCTAAGATCTGTTCTTTTGTTTGCAAGACAGATTCAGGTACGGGCCAAACCAAAGTTGCACAATGGATCAAAAGCTTTTAAAGAAATTATTATGTAATTCCAACATGATCGGTTTGTGTACGTTATTCCAAGGCCGATTGTTCTTTTATTCTGTACGTTTGCACAAACAGAATAAGAAAGAGTGAAGAGTAAAGAGGGAGGGGCATGTGTTTTGTTATAAAATTCACGAGATAAAGTAAGTTATGTTGGAAAAAATAATAAAATTATTTAATTAATTTAAAAAAATGGCAGTTGAGAACAGCCAGGCTTATGCTTATCGCATGTTTGCTTCACGCAAGCAGCTAAATGGGGGGGGGGGGGAGGTTTGCTCTCTCGCGTGGCTTTAAAGGCTTCTTCCAGCGTTTTAAATCCCCCCATTAAAATACCCATCACCAAAAAACCAACACCCACCAAACCCAAACCCTAAGGGAAGACACTGTTTTACACTTTTTTTTAATCTCCATCATCACCCTTTTCCAACTTCTACAAGGAACCCACAAACCCTAACCATGGGACCTATTCTATTGCTTTAAAAGGGAAGCAAAGATCAAGCTAAAAGATTTCCAATCATGAGTGCAAACCCTAGCAGTAGCGGTGGCGGTGGTGGTGCTGGCAGTTCTACTGGTGGTGGAGGAGGAGGAGGTTGTGGACCTTGTGGCGCGTGTAAGTTCTTGAGAAGGAAATGTGTGCCTGGTTGTATATTTGAGCCTTATTTTGACTCGGAGCAAGGCGCAGCCCATTTTGCAGCGGTGCACAAGGTTTTTGGGGCAAGCAACGTGTCGAAACTGCTCCTCCATATCCCGGTTCACAAACGGCTCGATGCGGTGGTTACCATATGTTACGAGGCTCAGGCTCGGCTAAGAGACCCTGTCTATGGCTGCGTTGCTCACATCTTTGCTCTTCAACAACAGGTAATCTACTTTACTATTACAACTTTTGATAATGGTTCATTGTCATCATACACACTTTTAGCTGGACAGCTTAGTTTGTTGCTCGCTTTTATTGTCTTTTTCTCTAGGTTTACCACGTTTTTCATCAAGTGAAAAACAAAACTGTTCTATGTAATGAAACGGACATCGAGTAATCCACTATCTGTTTGTTTTGATTCAAAAAATAATCTAAAAAGGATCAAATCAAAGTGGAACTTTAGCAGAGAATCTAAAGAAGGAATCATATCTGTTGGGTAAACCATCAAAAGAAAAGACATCCTTTTCACACCGTATTGAAAACAGTATGATAAAGAAAGAAAGAATGGATGGGGGGCTTGCTGATTGCTTCTCTGGGTGCACTACCGTGGACTTTCCTGAAATCTAGAACGTTTTTTAATTAACAAACCGTTCGGTCGGCGGTTACAACAATGGGATGACCAGTTTTTCTCTTCAAATTATGGATTTTGCGGGTATTAAGGAAATGGTCTGGTTTATTTCTTTATGGTATTTTGTTGGGGTTTGATCTCATTTTCATCTTCTTCCACAAGGAAGCTTTATTTGTTCGCAACGCCATGTTCTCGTGCACATAATCCAAAGCATCCTTTTAGTGTAAACAAAGACAATATGACTTTAATTTGCCTCAAAATACACTGTTTGATTTCGTATTATTAAATGAATCTATCCAATATTGGAAACAGTTCATTTCACTTGTACACGACTGATTCAATTACTATTTGTTTTTTTTTAATTTTATTAATATAAGCGTTTCATTTACTCCGCCAATCCATTTTGTTGGTATTTTTTTGTGGTAGGTTGTGAATTTACAAGCCGAGCTATCGTATTTACAAGCTCACTTAGCTACACTCGAGCTTCCATCACCACAGCTGCCGTCTCAGCCACCACAAACACTAATGGCACCACCTCCTCTCTCGATATCGGACCTCCCATCCGCGCCTTCAGTGCCGGACTCATGTGACTTATCGTCTCTTTTTGACCCTATGGTGCAACCTTCATGGATCATGCAGCAAAGGCAAATCGATCCACGCCAATTTGGAGGGAGCGGCTTATCTTCATTAACCGGTGGTGGCGGAAGCAGCGGCGATCTTCAAGCGTTGGCTCGTGAGCTCCTCCATAGACAAGGGTCTCCCCAACTGCCATGCAGCGATACTTCACCATCACCGTCTCCGTCCAAGTGAATCTTGAGTTACTACTGACCCTTAATTTTGCTTGCCTTGAAATATCCGTGCGAACCATCCTACCAGAGCTTAATTTTCATGTTAAAATATTTCATTGGGCAAGTAGCCTTAATAACTAATATTTTCTATTCAATTTTAATTTTAATTTCTTCCCTCTAGTTTCTTTTTGTGAAATTCAAATTTAGTTTTTTTTTTTGTCAACGAGAATCATTCTTTACACTACATTAAACGAAACTGACTAAAAGTGTTGCTTTCGCGTAACTTATGATGATAATAATAATATGGAGCTGAGGCTAAATTAATTATTGGAACATTCTTGGTAAGAAGTATTCTCGGTGCAGTCAAATTAGAAGGATGCAGTGCAACAAACTAAAAGTCTCACTCACACGTAAGGCAAAAGTGAAATAGAAAGTGCTTTTTTTTTTCAAATTTAGAAGAATTTGAGTGGTGCTGTCTCAGTTCCATCATCTTTCTAGGAATTTATGCTTTTTTTTAGATTGTGAGGGAACCAATGATAGGATTGGATTACCTGTACCTATTAAAATACTTTAGTTTATCCTTTCGAACATAAAGCGTGTTTAAAATATAATTGAAAAAACTGGTTTGGATAAAAATATTAAATTATTGAAAAAATTAAAGCAAGATTTTATCATTGGTCTTCTAAATCTCTTACTTACGCTGGCAGGCTGGAACTTATTAAAACTGTTTTATCTAGCCTTACCAACTTTTGGTGTAGGAAAATTTTCTTGCGTCAATCCGTTCTTAAAAAAGTTGAACAATTATGTTCAAGGTTTTTCTGGAAATGAGCTGATCAAAAAGCTTCTGGAGCTAGAATAAGTTGGCATAAATTTGTTTCCTGAAATCTGAGGGAGGCCTTGGAATCAAAGACATAAAAACTTGGAACAAAGCTTGCATGCTCCTACTCATTAAAAATATCCTAGCAGGTGAAGGTTCACTTTGGGTGGCATGGATTAAATGCTATGTCCTCAAAGATAAGGACCTATGGACTGTTAACATCCGTTCATCTCTAAGCTGGAGCATAAGGAAACTCCTTAAATTGCGATCGGAGGCTTACCCTATTTTGACTACTGGAGCTGTGACAGTAAGAGCTATTTGGGATTCTATTCGAGAAAAAAGATCTCTTGTTCCCTGGCAGAAGATTATTTAGTTCCCTCTACATATTCCTAAGCATAGTTTAATCTCTTGGATGGCTATGCTTGATAGACTTCCTACAAAGGAAAGACTCCACCGTATGGGACTGATTAATGACTGCAATTGTGTTTTTTGTGACAACCATACTGAAACAAGGGACCATCTATTCCTTCAATGTTCTATGGCAGATTTAATTTGGAAATCAATTTTCTCTATTTCTAGCATTCAGTCTTTTCCAAGTACATGGAATTCTTTTTTTGCATGGGCAACTTCTTCTTGGAAAGGAAAATCTCTGCTCACTTCAATTTTGAAGATGACTCTCAACGCTACTATCTATTTTCTGTGGGATGAAAGAAATAAGAGACTGTTTCAAAGCCGGTCTAAGAATGCTCGAGAACTGTTCCAAACCATAAGGGATATAGTTTGGTCCAAGGAAGGTCTTTGTTACATGCTTATGCTCCTCCTCTGTGGGTCCTGTGTTGATCTTGTTCCATATTAAAACTATGTCATGACGGAACTTGAGCTAGCCCGGCAAAGCTTTAATTCGTCTCAAACATTGACAAATGTCCCCCCCCCCTCTCTTTTTCCCGTGGACATGTTTACGGCTGGTAGTATTTATAAGTTTTGTATCTTTTTAATATAAAAAATATTATTATTTTCTATGCCTAAGCACCTTTTTCCCCCTAATATATTGGGCGTATGGTCTTGATATTCCGTTTTGAAAAGGAAAATAAATTAAATTAAGACATGTGATATTATGATTTATAAAAAATCTCATTTTTATAAATTTTATACAAAAATATTAAAAACAAAATTAAGACTTTGTTTTCACTGTTTTTTTTTCATATATTTGTTATATCTTTAATTTTAATACCACAATTTATTTTTTTATTTTGATGTAATTGATTAATCAATATCCAAATCATTGCTAAAATTGAATAAAAATAGACACATGTACCACCTAGCTTTATACTGTCATAGTACAAGTATCAACTTTAAATTTCTCTTAAAATATATAATTATATATAGATTGGAAAAGATAGCTAAAAGGTTAACTTCTCAAACTTATCATTATGTTGTCCTATGAAGACAATTTCTAAGCTTAATCTATTGTTTCTAAATATTAAAATTACAAATTTCAAAGTATTATTGAAGAAGGTGTTGCGGAAGACGGCTATTGGATAGAGCAAAAATGCAACTAATAATTTGAGAAAATAAAAATTAAAGATAAAAGAGACACAAAATTTACGTGGAAACCCCCTAAATAATATAGGGTAAAAACCACGGGCAACGGTAGAAGAATTTCACTATGAGAAAAATAGGAATTACAACCTCTCTCGATCTACCAAGGAGAAAACAATGATAATTCTCTCTTGATAAAAAGGAGAAAACAACTCTCAAGAAACTCTATAAATTCTCTCTAGTATTGGAAGAAATCTATAATGCTTTGGGATGGTTTTGAAGCTAAATGGGCTAGGGTATTTATAGCTAAATCTTAAGGACTTAATCTTGTAAATATCCTAAAGTTTAGTGATTAAATTTTGTAATTATACCTTACTAAAATCAACCAAAGTTGGCTGCCCACTTAGACTAAATTAGCAGCCGGCTGCTGCCACAATTATTGACAATCTCCCACTTTAAGATTTGATTGGAACAATAATATCTTCACACCATTCTTTCTACCTTGTACCTTCATATTGCTTACGTCTCTGACAGGCCACAAGAGGATCGACACCAAGTAAATTTATCGGTATTGATTGCCTTCCTCATGAAATCTGCTATGTTGTCTTTGGTATGGATCTTCTGCATATCTACCGTCCCTTCTTCCACCTTTTCATGAATGAAATGATATTGAACTCGTATGTGTTTTGTCCTTGAATGAAATGCTGGATTCATTGCTAGATGCAAGGCGCTTTGACTGTCACAAAACAGAGAGACATACTCTTGATTGTGCCCAAGCTCCTCCAATAGCATCTTCAACCAAATTGCTTCTTTACTGGCTTGTGTAGCTGCTACATATTCTGCTTCTGTTGGGGATGTAGCCACAACTGACTGCAATTTTGAAACCCAGCTTACAGCTCAACCAGCAACTTTGAACACATATCTTGTAGTAGATTTGCTTTTATCCAAATTCCATGCATAGTCAGAATCGACATACCCATTTATAAGTAAGTTTGATCCTCCGTAACATAATGCAATATTTGAGGTCCCTTTGATGTATCTAAGGATCCTCTTTACTGTATTCCAATGCTCTTTGCCTGGATTCGCCATGTACCAACTAACCACTCCCACTGCTTGTGCAATGTCTGGTCTTGTGCATATCATAGCGAACATTAAACTTCCCACTGCCGATGCATACGGTACTCGAGACATCTCCATCCTCTCTTCTTCACTGCTAGGACTCATACTGGAGGATAATTTGAAGTTAATAGGAAGATGGGGTAGAAATTGGCTTACAATCTTGCATGCTGAATCGTGACAAGATATTCTTTAAGTAATTCTTTTGTGAAAGCCAAATCTTCCTATTACTTCTGTCTCGGTGAATTTGCATCCCTAGAATCTTGTTTGCTGATCCCAAGTCCTTCATTTCAAATTCCCTAGTCAGTTGTGCCTTCAATTCATCAATATGATCTTTGTTGGGTCCTGCAACCAACATGTCATCCACATACAACATCAATATAACAAAATTGTTATCACCAGACCTCTTGAAATAAGCACAAGGGTCTGCATTAAGTCTGTTGTATCCAAGGCACATAATGAAAGAATCAAATCTCTTATACCAACACCTCGGCGCCTGCTTTAGACCATACAGAGATTTGTTCAACCTGCAAACCAAGTTTATTCTTTTCTTTTTCTTCAAAAATTTTAGGCTGGAGCATATAAATTTCTTCTTCAAGATTTCCATGAAGAAGAAGAAGAAATTGTTTTAACATCTAGCTGCTCTAGATGTAAGTCCAATGTAGCACACATTGAAAAAACTACTCGAACTGTTGTTAGTCGAACCACAGGAGAAAATATTTCATTGAAATCAATACCTTATTTTTGAGCATATCCTTTGACCACCAGTCTTGCACGATACCTCTCAACTTGATTTTGAAGACCCATTTGCTACCAATTGGCTTCCTTCCTTGTGGTAGTGGCACAAGGTCCCATGTATTATTTTTATGAAGGGCTTCAATTTCTTCTTGCATCGCCATCATCCACAGTGAAGCATCTGAGTTGTTTATTGCCTCCTGGTATGTTGATGACTCACCGTCATCTGTTAAAAGGCAATATACAATATTACCTTTTATAACATAATCTGAGTGCCAATTGGGACGTCTTCTCACACGATCTGATTGACGAGTTGTTGGAGCTTCAGAACTCTCTGGTTCTTGTTCATCATGTGCTGGTTCTGTTTCAGAAGAATCTCCTTGTTCAAACTCTTTTTCCACATGTATCTGAATAGTCTCTGACTTTTCAGCGCTTTCATCGTCTTCTTTTCTTTGTAGTTTATCTTCTATAAAGATAATATCTCTACTGATGATCACTTTACGAGCAGTGGGATCCCACAAGCGATACCCCTTTACTCCATCAGCATACCCCAAGAATTTGCATTTCTTGGATTTTGGATCCAACTTTGAAATTTCTTGGGAGTTGTACATCACGTACACTATACTTCCAAATACATGGAGGTTTGAATAATCAGCTGGTTTTCCAGTCCACATCTCCATTGGTGTCTTCAGCTCTATTGCAGTTGATGGAGCTCGATTCACCAAATAACATGCGATATTGACTGCTTCTGCCCAGAATGATTTTTCTAGGTCTGCATCCCTCAACATTGCTCTTTTTCTTTCTAACAAGGTTCTGTTCATCCACTGTGCCACTCCATTTTGTTGAGGAGTGTTCACCACTGTGAACTGTCTTTTGATGCATTCTTTCCTGTAAAAGTCATCAAATTCTTCGCTTGTGTATTCTCCTCCATTATCTGTTCTGAA